AAAAAAAAAAGACAGGGTCTCACTTTATAGTTCAGGCTGGCTCTGAACTCATTATGTAGTTTAGGCTGGTCTCAGACTCTCAGCAATCCTCCTGCCTCTGCCTCCTGAGTGCTTGAGATTACAGGCATGAGCCACTATGCCCAGCAGTACTATTCTGTTTTTTGAGAGGGACATAAATACCTGCAGATTTTGGTGTCCAATTCCCTGTCCCTGTTACAGGGGAGGAGACTGTAGCCCAGAGAAAAATAAGTGGCTCGTGGCAGATGGAAAGGTGGGCAGCTGAGACCTGGGCTCGGGCCTTCTGGCTTGAGAGGAGCCACTACATCCTGTCCCTCCCAGGGACTCCTACAGGGAGCCACACAAGATGACGCCCCTTCAGGGCTTCCCAGGTCCCTGGCACTGATGACTGCCACATTATTCCTGGTAACTACTGGGCTTGTCAAGGGTACCCTGTAGTCCTGACATCCAGAGCTGGTGGTCTGGCTGAAGAAAAAGATCCCCTTTGTTAGGGTGGACATGGCAGGGCACGAGGAGCACAGTACGGGTGAAAAGATGCACAGAAACTGGACCTGCTGTTGTAAAACTGTCACAACACATCTCTCTTCTGCATAGAATGAGGACCAACTTTCACCACTGTTCACTGAGACTTTCCTTCTTTATGGTTTTCTGTAGTTTTGAGCCTCTGTTCTTTATGAGAGGAGAATAACTTTTCCATTATGAAAGCAAAATAATTAAATGAAAAAAATGAAACCACAAGTTACATAGAACATGCTCAAGAAAAAAGTACTGTAAAAATAAGCCAGGTGTCACAGCATACACCCATATCTAGCATTCTGGGAGGCTGAGGCAGGAAGATGGCAAATGAGTTTGAGCCTAACCTGGGAAATTTAGCAACTTAGCAAGACTATCTCAAAAAAAAAAAAAAAAAAAAGATAGTATTTGCCCTATGCAGTCCTCTTACATGTCTTTGTTTTTGTTTTGTTTTTTGAGACAGGGTCTCACTATGTGGACCAGACTGGCCTTGAACTTATGGTGACCTGCCTCAGGTCACCTGAGTGTTATTCCCATTTGGCAGCTGGAGAACTCAGGAAATGTAGGGCAGAGCCTGCTTTTTTTTTTTTTTTTTTTTTTTTGGTACTGGGGATTGAACTAGGGTCCTTTTGTTTGCGAGGCAGGCAGCGGAACCACTGAGCTAAATCCCTGGCCAGAGCCAGATTTAATCCCCAGTCCAAACAAAAACGTCATTAAAATTATGAGTTCTAAGCCAGATGTGCTGTTGTGCACCAATAATCCTTTCACTTGGGAAGCCAAAGCAAAAGGATGGCAAGTTTGAGGGTAGTCGGACCCCACACACACACACGGTGCAATGCTTGCCTACAACTACAGAAGAAAAAAAAAAGAGGAAAAGACAAGGCCCTAGAGATATAAAGTTGAGAGTCAGGATGTTTAACATCCACAGGTTTGATATCTACCTAAGAAAGAGGTCGGGAAGTAGTCCAGGCCCCTCCCTCCCTTTTCTGGGACTCAGTTTCTCTATCAGGACAAGAGGTTTGAACCAGTGGTCACTAGGGGCTCTTCCAGATATGACACTCTGTTCTGCCACAGTGCAGCTGCTGCAGGCCACACGAGGTCCCCAGGACCCGGGCTCACCCCGGTCCTCCCTCTGGGCAGCTGCCGCCTCCTCCTCCTTCTGGCGCTTGGCCTGCTCCTCCTGTGCCCGCTGCCGCTCTAGTTTCTTGGTCATCTTGAGGTCCTTCCACTTCTTTTGCTCCTCTTTCTCTGGGTAAGAGAACACAGCCTGATTGGTGGGGGGTAGGGACTGGGTCAGCCCAGCACCCGGCGACAGGCCTGGAGGAAGGGCAGGCAGACTCTCCCCCTCGCCGCAGCCCTTACTTACTCTGTTGTTTCCATTTTCGCCACTCAACCCTTTGTCCGTGTTCACCCTGGAGGAGGAGCAGGAAGTCTAAGATGAGAGGCTGAATGGTCACATTGGAGGGGACCACATATGCTGCTTTACAGCTGTCCTGCTTCTCCGACCGGGATCGTGAGGGAGCCAGGAAACCACTGCACACTGCTGCGTCAAGGGGGCAAGGACCTGCTGTCCCCACGATGACGGGGTCAGGCGTGGTACAGAGTTCACGGACAGAAGAGGAACTGAGGCAGCCACTTCCCACATGTAGGGACATGAATGTGGGATATGCTCACAGTCGCCTGAGAGGCACAGAAAAGCTCAGGGCTGCGAGCACGGTCCACCTCTTGAGCCCAGGCCCGGCCAGAGGGCCGCGCGGACTCCGGCCCCAGCTTAGCCGACACCGCCCCAGCCTCCGGGATCTCGTCCCCGCTGGGGCGCAGGGGGCCTCTAGCATGCGGAAAAAAAGCTGTCCGTTCTCGCCCCCAGCCCCGGCACTGCCCGAGTTCCCCCTGGAACCTACCGGGCCGCAAGGCCGCTTCCTACCGCGCTCCGCCATGCTCACGGCAACCCGTCGGCCATGCCCCGGCCCTTCCGGCCACACCCCCAGAGCTGTCCAATCGGAGGCCTCGTCGCGCGGGGCGTGGCCTAACGTGCAGCGAGGGTGGGCTCAGCCAGAGCGGAACCGGGACTGTAAATTGGGGCGGGGCTAGCAGCCGGCCGCGTGGTAAGCAACCAGCTGCGTCTCCGATACAGACTGCCCTGTATACTTGGATGGCTACTCTCCGGGTGCACTAAATATATTTGGACTTTCCTGTCGCAGGACTCCTAAAGCCTATGGAATTTCTTGAATGATCGAGTGGCTTTTTATTCATAAAAAACTCCTTTGGGCCACGAGATTAGTGTCACAATGCAGGAGGGCTGGCTCGACCTCACAGCGATCTTCCTGTCCCCAGTCTCCTAGTGCTGCTTACAAGCATGTGCACTACGCCCTGCATGTCCATAAATTCTCTTGGTTGTCAGTTAAATCCACATTTAACAAAGAACATGACAAATGAATGTGACTTTGACTTCAAACAGGGCCCAAAGTCCCCAGCCCTTTTTGGGCCGTACCTTTAACACTCTCTCTCTCTCTCTCTCTCTCTCTCACACACACACACACACACACACACACACACACACACACACACACAAAATATTGTACAAAAAGAAGAGGTAGAGTCTGAACTCCTTCAGGACCTTCCATTCTAACCAAGCCCCACACAGCAATAGTTCCCATTGTCTGAGGTAGAGGCACGCTGCTAATTAGAGTTTGAATAATTTAAAATTTTATTACAGGCAGAAAAAGACTCAAGACTGAATTGAACTTCCTGAGGCCAAGGTTAAATGTGGAAAGGTAGAGGTGATGCCTGAATGCCAGCTGGGGCTAGGAAAGCATGGGGTACAGGGCTGGGACTCAAGGGCTACAATGGGGCCAGTTTTCCCCAGCAAAGACATGGGAAACAAGAAGAGACCCAAGTGCCACCAACAGACCCAGGGAGGGGCAGAGAGCTCTCAGAACCCTCGTCCTGACACAGGAGTTCCTGGCACTGCGGGAGAGGACAGATGACACCCAGACCGTGGCAGCCTTGTAGCTAGGAAAGACTGGATCACAGAGCAGCGGTCACCCAGTACCAGCTCCCTGATGTGGGGATCGCTGGAACCGGGACAAGGGTGCTGTTAGGCCCTGAGCGACCTCACAACTCGAGCTCAGCCTTCCACTTCTGCAGCTTCTCGTCCATGGCCTGGAATGTGGCTTCCCCCTGCAGTGACACACATGCTGCCTTCCTCCATCCCACACCCAGCAGCCACAGGATAACAGGGATGGCCCCCAGCCCCACCGGCACCTTCACAAAACAGAAGCGGAGGTAATGGTCGAAGTCCTTCTGATGTGGCCTGCTGTAGAAGATGGAGACCGGAATGGCCGCCAGACCCTGGAGAGGAGGAAGCACAGGTCTCATGTGGCCTTGTGGTCTGACAGCCACAGCTCAAGGGACGCAGAGCTTCCCACGAGGGGCACAACTGGGAAACCTAGGGCCTGAGCATCCCCTCAACTGTGTCAGGACAGAAGAAACACTGGACATCAGGTTAGGATGTGTGTGTGTGTGTGTGTGTGTGTGTCTGGACATAAGGTTAGGGTGTGTGTTAGGGTGTGGGTGTGTGGGTGTGTGTGTGTGTGTGTGTGTGTGTGTGGACATAAGGTTAGGGTGTGTGTTAGGGTGTGGGTGTGTGGGTGTGTGTGTGTGTGTGTGTGTGTGTGTGGACATAAGGTTAGGGTGTGTGTTAGGGTGTGGGTGTGTGGGTGTGTGTGTGTGTGTGTGTGTGTGTGTGTGTGTGCAGAGGCAGAAGCTGCCAGTAGGGGGCAGACCATGCCTGAGGCCAGGGCAGAGCTACAGAGGAAAGCTAGAGAGGAAATCAGTCTGGGGCGACCTGGACAGACTTCAGAGTAAAGGCCCAGCTCCTCCCTGTGCAGATGGGAAGACAGAAACCCGGTACTGCATCGTCATGCAAATTAGAGCCAGGCACCCTACTTACCTCTTGGACGGGCACCCTTGGCCACCAGGCGCGCAGGCAGAGGTCCAGCCTACCTTGTTCTTGATCATCCACTTGACGAAGCATCTGTCGTAGGGCTCATGAGCAGCACCAGGCAGGTCAGGCATCTTGCTCTCTGGGGACAGAGGCCATGTTGAGTCCTAGGCAGCCTCCGGCCCCTATACCCTGCCACTGGGCAGGGTCAGTGTCACTCACTGAAGTCTGAGATGTCCACGGTGAGGAAGTAGCTGCCCTGTGAGGCCACGGGCTTGAAGCCCACAGACTGCAGGCTGCGAACCATGTGGTCCCGGCAACGCTGCATGTCCCGAGGGAGCTGCACAAAGTAGCTGCTGGGCTGGCCAAAGAGGAGCTGCTCCCGCTCAAAGCACTGGGCTACAGCAGCCTGGACAGGGAGGATGAACAAACAGGTCAGGGGCGCGCCGCCACCGTGCCAGACAGGGCTCTCCTACTGCTTGTTTCTGACCCCACCCCAGTCCTGGCCCTTCTCACCTGGGCCTGAGTAGCACAGTGGTAGACAGAGTTCTGGTGCATAGTCCGCAGGTGCTTCATGATGTTATCGGGACCCAGGACCCAGCCCACCTGGACCAGGGACACAGGGGTGAGACCCTGAGGGCCTGGCCAAACCTTTCTCAACTCCTGAGGCTGCCACTGCTGCCAAGGACCATAGGGGGGGGATCTTACCACACCCCACCCTGCATGGACTCACCTTCCAGCCAGTGACACTGAAGGTCTTGCCAGCACTGCCGATGGTCAGGGTCCGTTCCCACATGCCAGGGAGGCTGGCTGTCCGGGTCAAAGAGAACCACTGCTGAGCCCGGGTGATGGGCAGGGAGGGCTGGCCGGGCCCAGGGCAAACGTGGACTCTCCACGCTGTGCACACAGCCACCCACTAAGCTACCGACAGGATTCATTTATCTTATCCTCAGGACAGCCGGGGGAGGGACATGCTGCTGTGGCCTCATCCTCAGGGAGGTGAAGTCACTGCCCTCGGTCACACAACTGGAGAGTCCCAGCCTCAGCTGTAGGGTCCAGGTCACCAGCTGGGGCTCGGTGCCTGGTCGCAGTGTCCCGGGATGACACACACTGGCTCAGCTCACCTATGCTGACGTGCTCGTGCGTGTCGTAGACGAGCCACTGGTACACCTCGTCACTGATGCACAGCACGTCATGCTGCTGGCACAGGCTGGCCACCAGCTGCAGCTCCGCCGTGGAGAACACCTGTGGGACCAGAGAGGCACAGGCGTCAGCCAGGCCTGGGCCTGCTCAGGGGTAGCAGCCAGCATGCCAGGCCCTAGGGCCTTCCCTGCACCTTCCCACAGATCCCGGCACCCTGAGCTGGTGACATGGTCCTTGCAGGTCCCGTTTCATACATGAGGCACTAGCGGAGGCCACTGTCCCGTGGCCACTGGGAAGCAATGGCATCCCATCCCATGCCCCATCCCAGTCCTGGAGCCCTGTGGGGTTCCTGCCCCTGTCACTGGGACCCCATGGAGGCTCGGTCCCTAGGTACCTTTCCAAGGGGGTTGTTGGGGGTATTGAGGACCAGGGCTTTGGTGCGAGGTGTGAACTTGCTGGCCAGTTCCGTGGCATCCAGCTGCCAGCTGCTGCTGGAATCCAGGTCCTGATCCTGGCTGGGGCTCTACAGGAGGCAGTGGGAGGGGCCGGCAGAAGGTTCCTGCCTGTCACTCGGCACCTTGCCCCCGTGTCTGTCCCACCTCTCCCAGTCCACTTCTCCCAGTCTGTCCACCTCTCCTAGTCCAGCCCAACTCCTTCTGGGTCCCTCTGTCACCCACTGACCCAGCATCTCACCGGCCTCAGCGACACAAACACAGGATGACCCCCAGCCATCAGTGTCATAGGCTCGTAACAGTCAAAAAAAGGTTCAATGATGATGACCTGGTAGGAGGGTGGAGTCAGCCAGGGTCAGCACTGCCCTGTCCCTTGTCCACCTGCCAGCCCTGCCGTTCACCTCGTCTCCTTCATCCACCAGTGCCTGGAAAGCTGTGAACAGAGCCCCATAGGCTCCCACGGTCACCAGCACATTCGTGACGGGGTCCAACTCCCGTCCCAGCAGCTTCCCGAAGAAACTTGCCAGGACCTTTGTCAGCGGTGGGTGGCCCTGTAGGGACAGAGGCTCAAGTGCCCGCCCTCACCTCCCTGCTAAGCTGTGCCAAGCCAATTCTAGCACCTCCTAGTGGCAGGCCTGGCACTGCCCTCAGAGCCCTTTGACCTCCTCTCACGCCTTTGCCGTACAGCCCACCTGCCCTGGGGATCACCTAGGGCTGGGCAGTGGCAGAGAGCTAGAGGAAATATTGTCATCCAGCTCAACCAAGGAATTCAGCAAAAACCTACAGCAAGAAAATAAGTGCGAGGGGGTGGGGGGACGGGACAAACGACAGTGAAACTGGTTTTGCCTTGAGCCTGGGTGAGGAGCTGGGAAGCGTAGGAAACTGAGTAACAGGGGCTCAGGAAGAGGTCGGAGATGGTGGCTCAGGTGGAGATCTTGATGGCAGAGCTTTTTTTTTTTGTTTTGGTACCGGGGATCGAACTGGGGACCTTGCGCTTGGGAGACAGGTGGCAGCACCACTGGGCTAAGTCCTGGGCCCCTCAGATGTCTTAACCAGTGGGACGAGCCTCTCACTAAGACCCTTCCGAGATTGTCACGTATCCCTGTGTAGCAGCAAATGGCCATGCATTCACGGGGGTGGGATGGGGGGGTGAGACATCAATGCCCCTTGGCAGCCTGAAATTTGACAGCATATTTCAATTGTATCTCTACTGTAAAGAACAAAAAAAAAGCTAGGCGTGGTGGTGCACGCCTGTCATCCCAGCACTCGGGAGGCTGAGGCAGGAGGATCACTGTGAGTTCGAGACCAGGTCAGTCTCAACTACATAGTGAGACCCTGTCTCAAAAAAGAAAAAA